CGAGATAAATGAGAAAATTTTTCTTGTTGATCCCTCCAAAAAACTAACGGGTTTGACGGTAATTTACACTTTTCAAGTTCCAAATTCAGATACAAATCAAGCTCATCCTTTTTCTTAATTTCAAAAAGATATTCTTCACTTCCATTACGCGATTGATCTCTAGTTTCATGTTGATCATTGAATTCATCGGATTCGAATCGACGAAATAAATCACTTTTTAATTTTTTTTGTCATCTATTCTGTGGTTTGCTTTTCACTTTCTTTAATATTTCCAATCGAAATCATTTGTATTTTTTGTTGAACATAATATGGCATTGGAAACGTTCAGTTACAGAGCAAAATTTTAAAGATCGACATTTTGAATGATGTAAACTGGCGGCATAGTGTCTAATATTAAGAACAAACATTTCATCAAGTAAACCTCGTATACGTTTCTAAAAAAACGTTATACCTGGAAAATCAGAATAATCATTTTAACTTAGAGTTGTATACCTTTACTTTTACCTGCTAATTCATGTACCATTACAGCATGCCTTTTTTCATTCTTTCAAAAGTATCCAACTACTCATTTTTCGAACAATAACATTTTATGTTGAATAATTGTTTTATTGGTCTTCTATGTACACACCTACCATAAATAGACGCTCTTATATACTGTCTTATTCACGCATCGAAGGAACTAAAAGTTGTTTTTATAGTGTAGATTTATAAGGAATCTTTTTTCGTAGAAAACTTCTATATATGAAATCGAAACAAATTATATGACCTACATTATATACGTTTGTTATACTTTGAATATTAGGAGTAAAATGCTTACCACAGTCCTACGTAGATAGATGAAATTTAGAACAATGCATTGCGTTAGGTTTGGTGAGATAATATCTTTTTTTGTTGCTGGAACTGTAATGGGCTTTTTTTTTACTCTTGCTATTTATGTTGTAACAAACATATGAAGCTGAAGAAATGTCATCGGTTTTGATTTCAAATAGTAATAAGAATATCGCTTCAATGCGTGAATACAACAGTCCAAGAACGTCTAACTGTGTATTTTCTGACTCTGTGTTATCGAGACCATCGCAATACAAAGTACAGATTTTGTTAGAGCGAAAAATACGTAAAGGACTACCTTGTTTTTATCGAATAAAATTCTGTACAATCATATTTCACTTCTGTTTATCTTTATATGGGTTAGCTATCTGAATATGTTGTTGTAGCATAGACATATGCAAAAATGTTAACTAACTATAAATAAAAACTTGAGGGTGGGTGTTTCTCTAATCGTATGAGGAAAAAATTCAAATACTTCCCTTAAAAATGCTGTTTTCTAGAGACTCTATCAAGAAAACAACATCGTTGCATATATAACTGATTCGATTTGATCAAAAACAAATATCAAATAAACATCATTTTTTTATCAAACAGAATTTTCACTCTTTGTTGAAGTATTATTTTTGTATTATATAAGATATTGGGGGGCTACTGATATGTGATTGTTTTCAAGGCTGATTTCAACCATCGGATTCATCTATTGAAACAATACAATAAAGTTAAACTGTGTCAAATTATGCTTGTGTTCATGAATGACGACAATGTGTTCACTGATCTAGCTGTAAACATTAATAAGTATTATGTTTAAAATACCTGAATTTAATATCCAGCGTTCTGCAATGTTTCCAAAAAAAGATAATTCCAATTGACAATGGAGCAATAAAAGGTTAAATATACTCTTAATTACATAATATCAATATTTCAAAAAAAAAAAATATTTAAATATTTTATTTTCTTTAATTAAGAACTAAAATCATTTATGATCGAATCGTCATAAGACAATTATCGTGTATGAAAGAGTTTAAAAAGCATTCTAGGGAAAAGCAACATATGCTAGAAAGATTATTTTCTATAATTATTTTGAAAAACAACTATCAGATATCTATCTCTTCTATTTTTTTTTTACTATATCAAATAACTAACAGAGTTTTTGTTTTATCTCAGTGCAGACCCTTATTGACTCTTCCACGTCTGCTCTGCTAATCTTTAGCTTCTTGTGATAATATTAATAATCAATATTTGACAAAAAAAAACATTGAAAGACTAGAAAACAAGTACATTCTTGATACATTCTCCTCGATCGACAAATACGAAACGGTAGTATTCATATTTCCGAAATTACTGACACATGAAACTTCTTTCATATTAATACAAGTAAATGAAATCTTAAGTCTGCTAAAATCGACAAAGCTGAAAAAACTTTTTGTCATTTACAAACATTCTCTTTTTAATCACGATCAGTGCAAACTTAGCAAAATATGTGTGTCCCATATTCCCATTGATAGTTAATATCAAAAAAGAAAACGTGTCACAAACAGGAAGAATTATTTCCACATCCTTCTCAATTTCAATGATAATAATAATTTTTCAAAAATCGAGTGTGATCACAAAGTTTGATGAAATTTCAAAGAAGTCAATTAAAAAAAAATCAAAACTAAATTAGACAATATTCTTCTATTGATATTGAATATAAATAGAATGTTTCCTACGAATAATAATAACAACACACAAACAAACAGAAATTACTTTCCTGTAAATAACAAGAAACACCTTTTCTCTCTTTCAAATATAATGAACAACTGCTAACTAAACATACATTTAATATAGATAAGATAAATAACAACATAAGAAAAAATTTGACCTATAACATAAAAATCATCAAAAAAAAAACGAAAAGCAATGACAAACTACTGACAATACGAACAAAAATATATATTGCAACCAAAAATCAAACTAAAATCTCTCGTCATAAAGTTCGATCTGTTTTTTTTTTTTATATAGAAAGTAATACAGACACAATACCAAACAAAACTCATTTACTATTATTTATGCAAAGTAGGAAAAGAAAGAAACAACCTATTTATGTCTATATGTATGTGTGCGTTCAAGTAAAAACTATCAAGGACATTTAGACGCGTCCAGAGCGTAAATTCATCGAGACGGAGAGAGAAATTAATTTAATGAATAAAACAAAAAAAAAAAAAGAAGAAGAAAGCATGTCTTCCCTCATTCATTATAGATTTTAAATCGTTTATTTTTTGATATAATATTATCCTTTGATGATGATGATATTTTTTCATTCATATATCTTTCAACTAAACATTTTGTTGGTGATTGTTGACTATAATTTGGTTTAAGATTTATTTTTGATGAATCAATTTTTTTTTGTTCAATTATAGCTATTATTAAATCTCCACATTCTAATTGACGACAATTTAATCCCGTTAAACGATGTGTACATGTTGGTGATATTGATGACCAACAAGAATATTGATGAACAAAAAATGGCATTTCTTGTGAAACATAATATGATACCTCAAAATAGAAGAAGAATAAAATTTCATAAATCAATTCTAAATAAAATGATTTACTGGTTTTTCAATTCCATTTATATGAAAACGTAATTCAGCTTTACCAGTTAGCTTATCAAGACAACCAATATACTCTACGCGTGCCAACAAACTAAATACATAACATATTTGTATAGTTGGTTATGACAAAGTTATTTCTTTCTTTTTTTTTTTTTACCTTGAATATTGTTGATTTTGTTTTGCACTTATTATAAAATCATTTGTTGTTAATTGTTGAATATTTTTCTTTTCACCTGTTTCTAATTTAATTAATGTATCATGATGAAATTTTTCTAGAATAATATCATCATTATTGGATGGTTGTTTTAAAAAAGTATTATAATGATGACATGAACCATCACCGGAATAATAATCGTTATGATAATTCCATGTTTGAAATGCATTCATATTCTTTGACGATGATAATAAACCAAGATTAGAAACAGTTGAATACATTTTCCTAATTATTAAACTAAGCACTGTTGATTATGGAACGTAAAACTAAAAAAAAGAAAAAGATTGTATACTTTCTTGTTTCAATTATTCATTAAAAATTAAGAGTTTCTCTTGAGTAAAATTGTCTGTAGAGAGTAAGAACAAATTTATTTCTATGCTAAACCTCGTTCTTAACAAGACTACTGTTAAAAATTTGTTGCTTATTATATTTTTTTTTAATAAAAAAAAAAAAAAAAAATATTAGTCCCTAAGCAAAAATATGCATCCGCATTATAAAAATGACTTTTTTTTTTTTTCACAGTAGTACATTAAACAAATACCCGATGTATTCTTCTATTCTAATTGATGAATGATTATGGTCGACTGACAGACAACGAAAAGAGACTGTTTTGACGCACACAGAAAGTGGAGAAATGAGAGCGAGAAAAAGAAGAAAAAGAAAAAGACACATTCTCTTAAGTAAAAATAAGTATGTTTTCAGGACAGAACTCAGGATCAACAACACATACCTCGACTTTTAATAATTTAAATAAGTTCAAACTATACACTAATTATTATAATTATCTACAACTAGATTTAAACTTTGATAAATAATTTCAATTTTCCTTCACGAAATGTGAACAATTAAATTTGCTCATTGAATTAAATTATGAAATACTACTTATATTAATAACTATACGAAAACTCTTAAATTTTCTTTGTTTTTATATTAAAAACAAAAAGAAAACCTGTGTAGGACAAACTAAGAAAGATTTTTTTTTTTTGACATTTGTTCTCTACTTATAATGGTATCTGTGGTCGCTTATAAAAGAGAAAGAAAAGGTCGTCGCCCCGGTTTTTTTTTTCTTACATAAACGCTGTTCTTCCTTCCTCTGCAAAAATCTAAAAAAAAAAAGGGAATGTAAAACAGGCACATTCTGCCCTTTATCTTCACGCGTTAACCACTCTTCCGTTATAATCAAAAAACAAGAAAAAATAATGATCAGCTGCAAAACATATGAGAAAAAAAAAACTATATAGTAAACATCATTTTTCATGAGACTTAGTAGTTAACTTATATTGACATTATGACTTTTCTTTTTATTATTATTATTATTATTATACAAAGATCACAAAAAAAAAAGACAACATCATAGATGTTTATTTTTAATCGGGTAAAAGTTCAGCTGCATCATCTTTATCATCAAAAACTATTGCATGTGTTTCTTTTTTGCTAATAGCAGTTCTTGGTCGTTCGTGTGTCATTTGTTGAGGAAATTGATCAATATAAGGATGAATTGTAATAGGTCCTAAGAGGAAAAAATATATTTAAATACAAATAAAAAAAATAAAAAACCTTGCTGAGAAAAAACGCCTTCAGTATTATCTAAATTAATTGGTGTACGTTTTCCATGATCATCCATAATTTGATTACGATTGCTACGAGAAACTTAAATAAATAAATAAATAAATAAAATATATGATTTCTATAGAATAATTATTTATATACTTTCATGTTCAGCCGATGATATTTTTCGACCTTTAATAATATTTCGACTTTTATCTGCACTTGTTTTACGCTATATAATAAAAAGAAAAGAAAATAAAATATTGGTATATATTCAAATAAAAAAAAATATACTTGAAGTTGAATTTCTTTCATTTTATTAACTTTTTTTAATTCATTTTCATACATTTCTCGTTCAGGTAAACCAAGATCAATAGCAATTTTAATTAAAAATTGAATGCCTACAGACAAAAAAAAAAGAAAAGTTATGATTAAAATATCGAAAGCAAGGTTAAGTTGACATGATAACTTTTATGTTTTAGATAGAAATATTGACAGTAAAAATATCAAAAAGCATTTTAAAATGATACCATTAAACATAAAATTTTCTTATCTCTATTCTCTAAGCTACAAAATTTCATTCTTTCTTGTTTATTTATTTGTACAAGTTTTATTAGATTCTTTCAAAGATTAGATGATTATTAATTTAGCATTTTTTTTTTCAAAAGAAAAGAAAAATATTAAAGCATTCATTAAATTTATACAGCCTACGAAGTTAAACTTTTAATTTATTTATTCTATTAATGAAAATAAATTATTTAGAATTTCTTTTCAAAGAAATTTTTGAAATATATACTAAACACAAAATTAAAAAAAATAATTACATATGTTGTAAGCGCTTGGAGTTTTCTAACATCTTCTATATTTACGTTTTAGTTTGCACTTATACACTAGCATACTAAATTAAGTGTAATGATGGCACCTACACATCATCTGATTTCCCTCGTGCTTCATTTAGTTAATACCATCAAATTAATTATTGACAAATTTTTCATCACTACAGGATATCCTTATTAAGAAAAATAAGTATATAATCAGATAGAACTTGAAATTCTTTCGTTGCAACAAATTAGTATAAGACAATGAAGAATTTCAAAATTAATCAAATAATATATAATTCAGTTTTTTTAAATGATTATAACAAAATGAAAGGCGTAAAAATTCAGTGACTTGAATTCCTTCGTTATACTCGATTTATTTTGGTAGTGCCTAAGTGTAAATTAAAAAATATAAATATCGAACATAATAGAAAACTCTGAGCATTTTCAAAACATATAATTATGTGTTTTTTTTTTGTCATGACGACATATTTAAAATAGAGACTACAATAGTTTGCTTTTTCTTAAGTACACATTACTAGTAGTACTTCTATGATGTTTTCTTTTTCTTTTCTAATTAAAGACATGTGTTACATATTAGCAGTTAGAATATAAAGAAAACTTATTATGATTTATAATTATCTATGTAATGTATTATTCTTTCTTTGTATTGACGAAAGAAAAAAAGAATATTTTATTTCTATTTTTAGAAAATTATATATTTTATTCTTTTCAATCTTACAATCAGTATCGTCTGGAAAATGTTGATGAATCCATTTATATTTTTCTATAGCAGCTGCATAATCACCACTACGACGATGGCATGATGCTACCATTAAATGCCATTTTATTTCACCGGGTCTAAACATTTTGTTTTTTTTATATATTTGAAAAATTTTCTTTTACTTGACTAAAGCTGCTTGTGCACAATATTCTACGGCTTTTTCTGGATATTGTGTTTCAATATAATAAGATGCTAACCATTCTAATGTTTGAATATCACATGGAGTATGTCGATATGCCTTTAAAGAGGAAAAATAAAAGATTTAATACTGAAAATTTCAAAATAATATAATTTACATCAAAATAATATTGTAATGCATTCGATTTATCACCTTGAGAATCAATTAATTCACCTATTCGTCGATGTAAATGTCCATCTGTTCGATGAATACTTAATGCTTGTAAATACCTAGCAAAAAATTCGATTTATGAATAAGCATATACTATAAATATTTGTATTAATGTGTTTTATCATAAAAATGAGAAAATCTGCCAAGGATAATACTAAAATTTTTATTGATGTTCTGATAACTAAAGCATATCAAATACGATACGAAAATTGTTGATTCCAGGATCTCTTTTTGATAACGATGTTTTCAAACCAAAAAAAATTTTCCTTTTGTCAATATCAGGACAAAAAAATAATTCATTAGTGATGTAACTTCGCAATATTAAAACTTGAGTACCTCGGGGTACTGCACTGTCCTAGAGCTAAAATCTATATCTTACATGTATATTAAATTACTTTAAATATCCTAAAAGATCAGTGTTAGAAGCGTTTGTCTAGAGAAGTTGTTTGTCAAAAAGATTGTAGCTTGAGCGATGTGACATAAACAAAGACATCGAATTTCACTTCAAACATGTTAGTTTAAAAAAAACTTCGAATTAAGGTAGCATTTTTAAAAACTAAATATTACATTCTCCAGTCTCTCCTAGAGTTATTAAATCTCTATTGAAATTTTTTTTTCTTCTAAAGATGCTTAAGTTTTTCAAAAAAGAAATGATTTAATTTTCGTTAGCAAGGTAACGATGTATAGAAAAAAAATGTTCTTATAATCGAATACAATCGTTCAATTGGTGTAAATCTTTCTTCAGTGTTTCTAGATTAATGTTTCGGAACTTTCTTCAGAAAATTGATTTTCATGAGGAAATTTTACTAGAGATGTGAGTCTATATTGCCGTCAAATATGTTTTATCAATCGAAATAAACCAGAAAATTGTACTACAAATCTAGACGATGTTTTGATCGTTAAAAAATATCTGAAGCACATTCAAGAAGTAATTACGAGGGTTAAAGTACAATCATATCAGACAATTGTAAAACGACAATAAAAAAAAAAGAAAGAAAGAAAACTAATGCTTTTTTTATGACGATGAATGACAGATAAAATACCTAGAAGATTAATATTAATAAGCGATCCAGATGGTAATTAATTTAATGAAAGTCAATAACTTGATGTGTATTTCCTTTCTTTTTTCAAAAACAAGAATAAGATCTTCGAGACCTTCCATACAGCGTTATAGTCATTTTATTGAAATTTTAGTCTATAGTACAGCATGTACAAAACAATCGAATGACAATCTATTGAATAGATAGTTCTACTTGTAACTAGAATATCTTCTTCACCAAATATTAATTTTTCTCAAAAACATGAGATCTTTGAATGTTTATGGAATATGAGTAATTTTCAGAAATTGAATATTTCGCGAAGGAAACATTCTTTTGAGCTGAAACTTCCAAGTAAAGTCTTGTGAGACAAATTTTTTCGTATCCTGAATCTCATTGATTGAAAGGCGGCTAAATGCACAATAAACTTGACAACTGAGACGAGACCGTTAAACACGATTGAAATTCATTATAATAATTTCCCCTACGGAAGTCTAAGACTTAGAAATAGGAAATACTGTGTACGATTGCGTTCTGACAATTTTCAAGCTCGTTTAGTCAACGACCTTTACTACACAGGATTTACTCGAGTGACAATATAATTATTTGTATGTTCTTTTTCTGTCATTTATTTTAACATTTTTGTTAGAAATAAAAAAATAAAATAAAAATGTACGACAAGTTTTCATATAAGAATTAGAGAAATTTCGAACATCATTTGGGATAGGACAACCGGGAATTTTTGAGATTCAGACAGCAGTGTTCAGACTTTCGAAAAAGAAAGTTTCGGAGATTTCAAGCATTTGTACGTTACTTCCTAAAATGATATAATTTCCAATATGTCTAAAAACTTATGATTTGCACTGCTATATAGTAATTGAGCTGATGGAAATTTCAGAAATATGGGTAATTTCTTTTTTTACAAAATCTGAACATACCTCGATTCAGAATATTCTAGTTACTATTCTTTTATCAAAAGAACGTGTTTTCTAAATATATTCCTAACATTACTAACCAACTTTTAGCATGATCCAAATCATTTGTCTGTTGTAATACTTTAGCCATTAAACAAAAAACTTGTGTATTTTCTGGTTGAATTACTGTATATTTATGAAGATAATCTTTAACACGTTGATATTGATTTGAATTAATTAAAGTAAGAACTTAAAAAAAATATTCAATTATATAGAAGTATTCGATTTATATTTTCTTACTAAGATTATGAAGTGCTTGAACACAACCTGCATCTATATTAAGTGCTTCTTCATAATAATATCGTGCTTTATCATAATCACCTTGGACAAAACAACAATTACCTTTATTTGTTAAAGCTAAAGAAAGAAAATAATAAATCAAAAAATAATATAATAAAATTTCTAATTTACATACAAGCTGGATTAAATTTATCGGTTTTTAATGCTAAATCTGCATATTTATGTGCATTATTTAAATCTTTTTCCTAAAAAAAATAAAACAAATAAAATCATAAGATATGCAGAGTATTATACCAAAAAGTGCAAAAATGATAGGTTAGTTGCAGCTAAAAATAATAATAATAAATGTTAGTGTGTTAGTATAAGTTTATTTTTGTGCTGTTTTTTTTTTGTATTTATTATACAAACCTGCACTAGCTAATTTTGCTTCAGCTTTTTCGAATTGTTTAAGTGTAGTAATAGCCTGAAGAGAAAATAGTAATTTTTTTGTTTATTTTATTTGTTCGCTTTTTTTTTTTTTCAATAACCTTCGAAAAATTATCTTCACGTAAATAAGCAATAGCTTTTTGAATTTCAAGTCCACTAGCTAATTCTAGATAAGTTGAATTTCGTACTTGTTCAATACACCATTCATAACCATTAACTAAATCTCCATCAGAATTATTACCAATAATTTTAGCTGCTGTTACAATAATATGTTCAGCAAAACGGCGTCTAAGAAAAGAAATTCTTCATTTTATTAGAAGAAAAAAGTAAAAAGCATGAGATCAAAACAAACTAAAACGTATAATGTACCAGAACAAATTCTCGAGATCTTTTTTATTTGTTCGGAAATGTGCGAAACTAACTTTTTTTTGATTTTGGCATATCTGTCATAGTGCTGACTTCAGGCTTGGTGATTTTAGTCTTTTCCTTCGCTCTAAGGTTGATCCTACATATTTCTAATTAGAATTATTTAAATTATCGCTTTCTGTAATTCAAAATAATTTTAAACAGTTAATAAGATACTTTGCATGTTTTCATGTAGATCATAGTGATTTTGAGCACTAAATGAGGAAGAAAAAATATAGAACGTCTAATTAATAACGAATAAAAATTGTCTTAAAAAGCACCTTCAAATATCAAATTTTGAATATAGTCACAGCACTCAATGATGAGATAGGGTATCCGAACTTCGTCAATATAGATAACAGTTACTTTGGTACATCTTCTAGTACTCTCGATCTGCATTCAATCTTTAATACAAAATTTTGTGCTATTTAAGATGACACTCTTAAAATTAATTTCACGGGTCGTCTATGACCTTAAAACTACCGTCTTTAGTGTTTCAGAAACTTTCTTCGAAATGAAATACATTAGCTATTCATATCGCTATTTAGATATGAGTTAAATGCTTGAAGTCATATTAAAAGCAGATTGATCTTATATTTTGATCAATACTGTATATTTAAATTAGTCGTCTATGATCTTTGTTTTTGATGGTTAAAACACATTTTTGCCAGCTCGAATATTGAAATATTTATTTATACAATTTTCTTTTGATAATTTTTCTTATCTCTCATGTGAACTTCTTCAAATATATAATTATCTTCTTTTACTATACCGTTTTCGTTCTAATTGTCTTAGTCGATCATCTCGTATAGCTTCGACAACAAACATTGCTTGTCGATCTTCTTTATCTATCTAAAATTATAGAAACTTAATCAATCAACAAAACAAAAAAAATCAATTGATAGATTTTACAGATACGGGATAATCATCTTCAGACTTTGAAAATGGTATTTTAAGTAAATCAATAAATGCTTGTCGTATTTTATCACGTTGACCTATTGTATGATAACATAGAAGAAGATTAAAAACACTACGATAATTCGGTTGTTCTTGTATTATTATTTCATAAGCTTGAGCTGCTTCAGCATATTGATTCATTAGAATATGTGTAGCAGCAATATTTTGTCGAATTTTAAGTCTTGAAAAATAAAAAAAAAAGGTTTTATATTAAAATATTTTATGAAATATTTATACTTTAACTTAGAATTTTGATCAGATATTTGATCAAGTGCCATTCGATACATTTTTAAAGCTTTTGTATAATTCTTTGACTGAAGAAAAATATTGCCAATATTTATTCGTCTAAAAAAAATTATTTTTTTGTTTTTCTATTAAAATAATAATACTATTTTATATATTTACTTACATTTGACTAGATTCAGGTAATAATTTATTTTTAAGTATTAAATTATATAGATTCATTGCTTCCATATTCATACCACATTTTGTAAACATATTTGCACAATGAAGAATAACCTATCAAAGAAATTCAAGTCATTTTTTTTTATTCAATTAAATTTATTTCGGTTAATACACTATCGAAAATTTCTAATAAAATTCAAGTTCGTAGGTTGTAAGTTATCAATCGTGAGAAATCGTTTTTTTTTTATGGAAAATACAGTCGTTTTATTACAGTAACTTTTCAAAATGACCT